ACATCCAACTGAAGATGTACAATGCCTTGCTCTCTTGCTTCGACATTCCCTCCCTGTACACCATGCTCATTCCGAGAGTTGATCATGTGTTTCCCGCGCACGTGACCCGTCCCGACCGTCCTTCCATATGATCTAACGCCACCAGCACCATTCAATCTGCCTGTAAGATATGCTCCTTCCTCGGCGCAACATTTTCCGAAGTGTTAACAACGCATGGCCGACCACTTCAAGGTACCGACATAATACACTTAGTTGCATATTCGGTTGTGTAGCAGTTGACGGCGATCACCTTCTTCATTATTTCGATTGTCCGTTCGCAGTGCTTGTTCTCTAAGGAGTGCCCCCCCCTTTTTCTCCCTGCATGGCACAGCCATCTCCGAGGATCTAACAGGCTCCCCTTCAACTTCCCCTACCCCTCCTGGACTAACATTGCTATGCGTGGCTGTCTGTTCGTTCCCGTTATTTTGCATGCCACTACTAGCACCCTGCGAAGTGAAGACTCCCTGGGCCTCGGGAGTCTCGAGAGCCGCATGAGGACCCGTGCACGTGCTGCGGCCAAACGGTCCCCAGCGCTTTGCGAGGCCTTCCAGAGGCGCTAAATTAACGAAGGGTGCGATCTACCATGATCATCACCATCATCAGCGTCAGCATCAGCATCAGCATCATCGTCGTCCCCGTCATCATTCTCATCATCAGCAGCATCAACACCTGACTCTGAGCTTTCATCCTAGTCATTGTCCTGCTGCTCCTCCTCCTCCCCCTCCGACCCCTTCCTTCCTCGTCCTCCTCCTCCTCTTCCCCCTCCTCCTGTGAGAACGATGGGGCCCCCGTGAAACCCTGGGAACCCGCTGAGGCTGAGACCCGCTCCCCGCCCTCTTCCTCCTCCTCCCCCTCCTCCTCCTCCTCCTCCTCCTCCTCATGCTCCTCCCCTTCCTCCCCCTCCTCCTCCTCCTCCTCATCCTCCTCCTCCTCCTCCTCCTCTTCCTCCTCCTCCTCCTCCTCCTCCTCCTCCTCCTCCTCCTCCTCCTCCTCCTCCTCCTCCCCCCCGAGAGGGGGGCGGGCGGAGCACGCGGGCGAGCAGCGCTCGCTCCTCCACCGGCCGGCTGGCTGCCCCAGGACCGGAGCGTCGAGATCGTCCATGGCCCCGAGGGCTGGACCGCGGGGGGGGGGTGGCGGGGGCATACAGTCAAAAACCCTAATAAGGACGCGCGACTTTGCTCAGGGTACCCTTGCGTCCCTGCTCTTCCTTGCTCTTGCGTCTCCGTCCTTCCTTGGTCTCGTCTTGGGGTTTTCGTCGTCCGCCGCCCCCCAAAATCCCAACTTCGGCTTCCAAGGGTCTTGCATCCTTACCGCGCGTCCGAGGGCGGACACACACACACACACAGACACACAGACACAGTCAACCGTCGACACACACAGAGGGCGGACACACACAGACACAGTCAAGCGTCGACCCCCAGGGAAAGATATATGGGAACATCATGGGAAGTGGTGGGGGTGGGGGGAGGACGAGCACCGAGAAAAGATATGGGAAAATCTGGGGAACCCAAGGGTGGGGGGCAAGACGAGCACCGAGAAGATGTGGGAAAATCTGGGGGGTCCTGGGATCTGCGTAGATCCCTTTGCGTGTGCCCCTGGGGCCCCTTTGTGATCAAGCTGCCGCAGGCGCGCGCTCGCGAGGGGCTCTCGGGGGCGCCTCTGGCGCCAGAAGCCGCCTCCCCAGCGGGCGGCGCCGCGGTGTGCGCGCGCTGCTCGCCGCGGTCGTGCGCGCGTTGTGCTCGGCGCGCTGCTCGGCGGGGGGCACCCGCAGGCGGGAAGGGCATGCCCGCGGGGTATGTGCTGGACGCCGGCGCCCCCAGCGGGGAAGCGCCGCGGCGTGCGCGCGCGCTGCTCGGCGGGAGCTCTGCCCGCGGGGGGGGGGGGGGGGGGGGGGCACCCGCAGGAGAGCGCGCGGAGGAGGCAGGGCGGGGGCGGCGCTAAGCCGGCGGAGCCCCAATGCCTCCCCGGCGGCTCGAGAAAGGGCGCGCTGGCGGGTTTGAGCACTTTTTGCGGCGTCTGTCGAGGGCATCGAAATCAGGAGGGAAAAAAACACACAGACACAATTAATCCTCGATTCCCAGGAAAATATAGGAAAATATGGGAATTGGGGGAGAAGACAAAAACCCAGAAAATATGGGAAAATATGGGGACTCATTTTATTTGTGTGTATTTATTTGTGTGTCCTAATTTCCCTTTACAAAAGAACGCCCCTGCCCTGGTTTGCGAGGCGCTGGGCGCCGAGACACTCCTCCGGTGGGCTGACAGGGTGAGCAAGCCCTGCGTGGTGTGCCGCGTCCCGGCGGCTCCAGGCTTTGGGGCTTCCCAGGAGGTTTACAGACCATGCCCTTGCAACCCAGGGTAGGGTCGTTGTTTCATCCCTCAAGTCTGGGTGCCGTCGTGTCGTGTTGGCGACTACAAGAGGTATGCCCTCCTCCTCCTCCTCCTCCTCCTCCTCCTCCTC